TTTTTTTTTCTTTTGTCTCAGATCGCGTTTTCTCTATTCGCGGTATAAAAAAATGCCCAAATATCGTGGTTAAACATCGTTCAATTCTGTCGTACAAAATAAAACAAAACAAACAAGCCAACGCACACACAGCAAACACACAAGACGATAAAACAAGCAGAAAAAAAAAAGAAAAAAAAAGTAAAACGAATGAACCACACACGCACACACACACACACATCAACTCATCGACTATTGTCGAGATAAAAAAAAATGAAAAGCGATTTCTATGAGTTTCCAAGTCTAATCTAGGATGTCACAGAAGCCAAAAGAAAAAAAAACAAGAAGAAGAGAGATTTTTTTTATCACCGAGTTTATTGGGCATAACACACGTAAATGCTGTTTAGAATTGAATTTATTTTCTTCTCCCTTCTTCTATTGCACTTCATTTTGTTCAATAAAATTTCTCTGATAAAATAATGTCATCATTCATCACATGATTTATTTTCATCGTCTGCTGTGATACTATCATCTGGATTTTGTATTGTACTAGAAGCAACAACAGCATCATCACTAACTGTACTTCCATTCACAATTGTCGATGTGTCATTGAGATTAATCGACGATATATTATTTAAAATGCTATTTGATTGTTCGCTATTAATATTATTATTATTATTATTACTATCTTCATTTGATATATTTGTTGAATCACGACTCATTTGTATAATCGATTGAATACGTCGTTGAGCAAACTAAATATAATAAAATAGATATGACAAGAAGAGAAAGTTAATGATTTTACCTGACTAGCTTGAAAAGGGCCAATAATTTTAACGGGTACTTCACTAGCGGATGTTTGTTGTGAATCTTCTGGTAATTTAATAATTGCACCTGTTGATTGTTGTAATTGACGAACATTTTGTCCACCTTTACCAACTAAACGTCCAATTAACGATGTAGGAACATATATTTCTGCACGCAATCGAACTTCATCATCACCAGCATAACCTTCTTGTCGAATTTTATCATATATATAATATTGACTTTTCCATTGAGCTTCAGGTGTTCCTGATATTGTTACTTGTCGATCAATTATTTTATTTTGATCTTCCTGTGGATTTGGTGGACTAATCTAAATAATAAATTATTTCAAATAAATTATTCAATAATTAATTAATTAATTAGTTACTTTAACTATTGCATTGGAATTTTTAATAATACTTTTAATAAAAAGACCTTTAGTACCAATAATAGCTCCAATTACTGCATTTGGTACATATAAATGAACAGTTTCAATAGCTGCTGATGCATTTTGTGATAATTGTACTATTGACTGTGGATATTGTTGTTGATGTTGATTAAGTGTTCCATTTCCATATTGATGAGAATGTGAAGCAGCTATATGATTCATTGGTTGATAAGACATATAATATGGTCCAGGTGCAGAAAACACAGGTGGCTAAAATGAAATAAATAATTTCTCAATTTTAATTATGCTTTTTTTTCTATATAGAACATACGTAATAAGGTTGTTGATAAAGTGCTGCTTGATGAGGTTGTTGTTCAATATATTTACTCGACGAACTATTACTATTATTAGTTGGTGTTTGTTGCATTAATGGTTGCTGTTGTTGAGTATAATGTGTAGGTAACACAGGTGGACCATTACTAGTAGCAGTTGCCATTACTGCTTGTTGTGCGAAATGTTGCATTAATTGTTGTTGTTGTTGTTGTTGCTGTTGTTGTTGTTGATGATATTGTGTTGTTGGATTATTCCATGTTCGAGCATTATCATTCTCATATGCCGAACATAATTTTGTATAGATTGATTCAAGTGCACGTATTTGTTGATCAAGTTCACCTTTTATTGTTATTATTCTTTCAATATTATATGAATTTAATTCATTTATACTTGATACAGTAATACTATTGAATGAAAGAAAAGAAAAAACAATTTTTTTTATCAATAAAAATTCTTGAAAACAAACTTTGTATCAGTTTCTTTTTTAATTGAATTTATTATATTACCACCTTTACCAATAATTCGACCGATAAAATTATTATGTGCAAGTACTTTTAATACAATTTCACTAATAACAATTAAATGAAAATATAATTTAAATAAAAAACTTATTTTCTCTTTACTTTGCTTTATTTTTATTTTGTGCATCTTCATACATTATACGAAGGACTTCGCGACATGCTTGAATACAATTTTCTTGTTGACCTCGAATAACAATCACTCGTTCTTGTGTATTGGTTGACTCATTTTTACTCACGTCAACTCTATGATTAGTTACAGATGAAAATTTTGTTGTTTTTTTTATATAAAATTATGAAAAATAAGAATATATACTTTGCATGTGTTGTTTGTTTGATTTGTTTAACTGTTGAACCTTGTTTACCAATTATAGCTCCAACAGAATCACTAGGAACAAGAATTCTATTTGAAAATATTAAATCAAACAATGATTAATTCCAATAAAAATAAAGAAAACGTTTTACCGAAGTGGATAATCATATGATTGTCCGTATGTATAATCCATTTTTTTAAATAAAATTAAGTAAAATATAAATCAACGATAGAAGAAAAGTAAAATCACAGTAAGATCTATATAGTTATATGATGTTGTGGATAACAAAATTGATAAAAAACACAACACAATAAAAAAGACACCACCACCTGTTTAAATCTACAAAAAATGAGGAAAAATAATTATTGCAATTGAAATTTACGATTTGATATCGAATAAAGAACGAACGAAAGAATAAATAATTATTTCTCTACCTGTATAAATGATATAGAAGAGAGAGAAAAAAAATGAAGAGTAAAAGTACAAGTAAATGCCAAACAATCACTTATGTAAACAAGCAAACAAAAAAAATGTGAATTTAATGATTGAATTTAAATATAGAAGAGATTTGAAAATGTTTTATTTATCTCTATTCTATTCTTCAGATGCGTAAAAAGAAATTTTGATAAGAAAATAAACTAGAAAAAAAAACATAAAGATGGCGCCACTATGTTTTTATTATAATTATGATTGGTATAGATAATGAATCAATGTGAAAAGGAATGATTGCATACATACAAGTAAACATCAGTGGAAGTAGAAATATTTCATTTATTTGAGTGAAGTATTTCAGAGTAATTACTTTTTTTTTATTTTTTCCCATATATATCAAATAGAATGTATTTTAATTGTCAAAAGTAGTTTAGATTAAAAAAAAATAAAATTATGCATAAATCGAATGAAGATTGTTTTTATTTTCTTACATCATCTTGCACAAAAGTATGTAATATTGATATTATGTTTTTTATTCTTTTAATTCATTGATTTATAGGGTTCATCATGTACATATCGACATAGTCCATTAGCTGTAGCATGTAACGTTATTTGTCCATCTTGGTCACGTGGAAATTGTCCTGATCCTGCTTGTCCATATCGTCATAGTCGTGCTCAAGTATATTATTATAAAATAGATGTTTTTTATTTTTCTAATTATTATATTTTCCTTTGTTTAGCGTCCGATGGTTAATAATGGTATATTATGTTTTTATGAAAATACACCGACGGGTTGTCTTAAACTTGATTGTACATTTATTCATTCACGCCCACGAATGAATTTGCTAAATACATCAACAATTCGACGTAAGTGCAAATGTTTGTTTTTTTCTGAATAGAATTAACTGATTATTTGTTTTGTTATAGCTGTAACAACAAATTTTGTTCGTAAAGATGTAACTAAATCCCTTATCACAAATATTCCTTCTACGGATATACCAGAAGCAAAGCTTATTACTAATTCTTCTCAGTCAACTATCAGTTAGTATTGCATTGTATTTGCATGTTTTTCTATTATAAATATTTCTTATTTAGATGAGCCACAGTCAATAATACTCAATACGCCACTTGAATCTTCGTCTACTTCTGTTATGACTCCACCATCAACAGTTAAAAATGAAATTATAATACGTCGTGTTGCAATTCCATCAGTTGGTGAATCATCAAATGAAATAAAAGATTCATCCGATAATAATAGTAATCATAGCATGATCAAATGTACTACTCGTAGTGTAATTACAGATTCTGCCAAAGAAGCTCAAGAAGAAATAACAACAAGTCAATCTCGATTAATTGTAAATCGAAATGTTGTTTTAACAGAACCATCTAATATTTCAACTCGAAAAGTTGTTCAAACAAAGCCTTCACCGTCATCATCATCGAATCGTGTTGTTGTTTCAGCGGATACTGTTAAGTCACCGTCAAAAGGAAAAAAGAATGATGCAGATTGCAGTGAACAAGAAAACAAAACAAAAAGATTCAAACAAGATTCTCAATCGAGTAAAAAAATTTTTATATCATTGGAAAATTGAAGACAACTAAAAGTGTCCTTATCTTAGTGATTAATATTTCATTTCCATGTTCAACACCAACGATTATTAGTCGTGTATCATTGATACCAGCAAAAGAATCAACATCAACCAACGATAAGAAACCAGTTCGATTAAACCGTGATCGATTGCCCGCAACAAATGGAAATTCATCTACTTCTACATCTAAACAATCCAATGAAGAAAAAGTATATAACAAAAAACAAAATTTCTATTAAAATCTATACTTTTCTTTTTAGTTATCTGCGGGTACGTTCGTTGGCATTATATTTATGATTATTTCAATAAATACATATTCCTTCCTCCACTATTTTCTCTTCTTAACACAATCCATCAAACTGTCTGTCTATGCATATATGTATACATGTTCAAGCATGCACAACAGCAGTTACAAAGACTACAATGCTATTTCCCTTTATTATATCGGTTGTTTATAATGTATTTTATACCAATGAGTTGAGTGAGATTAGATATGAAGTCAGACAAAAAAATCAATATCTTATAATGTTATGTTAATCTTCAATTTCTTATGACATGAGATGCATTAGATTAATGACGAATATATATATATATTATTGTTAATCGTCATCAGAGTTCGGTGTTTTTTTTTTAATTGCACGAGTTTAATGTAATCGTAGAATTATATACATTCGGAATATTCTAGGAACTGAATTATCACAAGAACAAGAACGACGAACAATGCGCCTTGAGTAAGTATTACTGATTAAATTATTCGTTTCTTAATTGATATTTTTCTTTATAGACGTTTCCAGAAAAAAACAACTTCTCCGCCTCGATCAACCATTTCATCATCATCATCTTCTTCTTCTTCACTGACAAATACCAGTGATAAATCAAGTAATTCGTCTAATACACGAAATGTTATTACAGCACCTTCCAACGAACGTAAACGTACTGCATCTGAGACAACAATGAAAGATACACCACCAACCAAACGTACTACTGTTTCATCAGCACAAGCTCAATCTTCTCCTCGTCAAACAAATTCATCTCCCAATGTGTTGACACATTCACGATCATCATCAGTTCGTGATAAAAATCGAGACAAACAAACCGACAATCGTATTACTAAAAATGTTCAACAAAAAAATTCTTCACCTCAATCTGAATCAGTAGTCTCTTCTACTACACGTCCACGTTTTATTCCACAACCAATTCTTCCTCCTTCATCACATCAATCTCGACAAGCACCTTCAGTTGCTATTAAACGACCTCCAGTTCCAGTAACGACGACAACTTCTCAAAAATCGTCGGAGCCAATTCAACAAATATCTCAAAATCATGTTGTACCTTTAAACTCTACAGTAGAAAATAAAATATCAAATACAATCAATGAAGAAGATGAAAAGCAATTATTAATAACTACAGATTCTTCTGATGTTGTTGATACATTTGCATTAATTGATGAAGCATTATTGGAAGCTGATCATCTTCTTGAACTTATGTAAATTACAAAACTTTTTGTAAAAAAAATATATAAATCTAACTTTCTTGTAATCTATATTCTTTCTATGTATGGATTTTGTTTATTTCATTATATTATTTATTTTTTTTTCTTTTCATGTTTTTTATGTATTGATTAAAACAAATAGATCATTTCTGAAAATTGACATATATACATATAATTTCAATCATGTATTAAAGCATGCATATATATATATATGTATTGTAGATGAATTCATTTATATCACCAATGAATGTGAGAAATAATAAAAAAAAGAATAAGAAAAAATATTTACTTGTGATTTTTAGCTCTGTTCACAATGTACCTCAGTTTTCGTGCAATCTATACGTTATTTACCACAAAGCTTTCAAGCAATAACAAATAAATGCTTCAGACAAATTTTATCACGTGTAAATACTAAACAAATTCATTATTTGAGAGTAATAAAAAAAGTTTATCTATTGTAGCGAAATATGAATCAAAATGTAACTACAGCAATAGAACGAGTATTTAATGGATTATCAAAAGAAAGTAATATTATTATTCTTATACAGAATAGAATTATATAGTTTTTGTTAATAGAACTTCAGAAATTATCAGTATCATCATCGTCTTGTTTATCTTGTCGAGTTGGTATTATGCAACATATGAATCATAAAGATTTATTAAAAGTTGAAAATTTAGGTATTTGTTAAAAAATGCATTGTTTTGATAACTATGTCTACTTTCATTCTTTTCTTCGCCTATCTATTCAGTATTCAATCAAGTACGTGGTTTTAAAACGAAGCATTCCAGTTCATCACATTCTGAAGATACATTTAATCTTAATGATCAACAAAAAATTCGAATTGCTTTTGCTAAAGGTTGGAATTAAATTCATTCTAAACTTTATTTAATCTTAGGAACTGTTGTTTAGGTTATGCTGCAGCTACTAATCAGTCTACAACAGAAAAACGTCCATCTCTATTTAAATCAATACGAGTAATATTATTTTACAGTATTTTGATAATACTTATCTTAAGTATCATATCAACACTTACTGGTGGTATGTATGTATTTTGATATGTTAATTTATATATTATTTATATTGATTTTCCAGATGGTGATGGAATTACTACTGCTTTTCCTTTCGCTAGTAAATATGAAGTCAGTTCAGAGGATGTTAAAGTCAATTTTTCAGATGTTCGTGGGGTAATAATAATAATTTGTTCTGTTTTTTAGAGAAATTATTTTTATGTATATTTATTATCAGACTGAAGAAGCAAAAGAAGAATTAATGAATATAGTAGCATATTTAAACGAACCAGATAAATATACAAAATTAGGTGCTCGACTTCCGAAAGGTGTACTTCTTGTTGGTTCACCTGGCATCGGTACATATTTTAATATATGTTCATATTTATATTTGTTGAAGATTAATTTATTTTTAGGTAAAACACTTCTTGCTCGAGCTGTTGCTGGTGAAGCTGGTGTTCCATTTTTTCATACGTCTGGATCAGAATTTGATGATATGTTTGCTGGTGCTGGAGCTCGTCATGTACGTCAACTATTCAGTATGTTTTAGTTTTTCTTAGATTTATAAATAATGAAAGTAATTTATTTTAGCTACTGCGAAATCTCATGCACCATGTGTAGTTTTTATTGATGAAATCGATTCAGTTGGTGCTAAACGATCTAGTTCACAATTGCATCCTTATGCAAATCAAACAATTAATCAATTACTTACCGAAATGGATGGGTAAATGAAATCTTTTTTTTAAATAAATACATATTTTTTCATTTTGTGATTCATTCTTCTAGATTTAAAAAAAAATGAAGGAATTATTGTATTAGCTGCCACAAATCGTCGTGATTATTTAGATTCAGCTCTTCTACGTCCTGGTCGTTTTGATAGTGAAATTTATATAGCACCACCAGATCTTCGTGGTCGAAAAGAAATTTTCGAACTTTATCTTAGTAAAATGAAGCATGATCCTTCTATTGATACAGAATATTTAGCCAGAGGAACTACTGGTTTTACTGGTGCTGAAATTGAAAATATGGTTAATCAGGCTGCTCTCTATGCTGCTCAGTTGAATTGTTTATTTGTATCTATGAAACATTTAGAATGGGCACGTGATAAAGTTCTAATGGGTCCAGCAAAGAAATCTAAACTACCTGATTTCGATACAAATAATATCACAGCTTATCATGAAGCAGGTCATACAATTGTACGATATTATACACGAGATGCTGATCCATTACATAAAGTAACAATTATTCCTCGTGGACAAGCACTTGGTTTTACAGCTCATATACCAATAAAAGAAACATATAATCGAACACGATCACAATTATTAGCTGAAATGGATGTTATGATGGGTGGACGTGTTGCTGAAGAACAAATATTCGGTACAGATAAAATAACAACTGGTGCATCAAATGATTTCAGTCAAGCAACTAAACTTGCAGCTAATATGGTAATTAATTTTTGTCTCGATGATTTATTTATAATAAATTCATATAGGTAAAACAATTTGGTATGTCAGATAAAATTGGTACAAGATCATTTCAAGAAGAAGAACAAGATGCTGGTCTAGGTTTTGTACGTGTTAATAATATAAGTCCAACAATGCAAGAAATGATTGATTTAGAAATAAAACAACTTATGGAGGTAATTATTTACTAATAAATATTTTTCATCTTAATTTGTTATTTTTCATCATAGGAATCATATGATCGTGCTAAAATATTACTTAAAAAACATGCACGTGAACTTAAAATACTTGCTGAAGCTCTTCTTCATTTTGAAACATTATCAGCAGATGAAGTCAAGTCTTTAATTGAAGGTCGAAGAATACATTAATCCGTGAATCTATAATATTTTATTCGTATTTTTTTTACTAATAATTTTACGCAAGATCTTTTCTTATTCTCATAAACTAGAATATTTTTCATATGTATAGCTACGAAGAAAAGAATGTGAAATTTATGTTATGTACTTGTTATACAAATGAATAAAAAATAAAATAAAATAATTTTCGTTTATTAATAATAACTACAAAAAAAACAAATATCTTATCATTTTTTACTTGTAGAACAAAAAAAAAGAGGACACTCTCATGTCTTTGTTGTTCTCTACAAACATACCCATACGTTTTTACCCTTATTTATTTCTTGCTTGTATCATGATGGCACATAGAACTATTTTTTTTCTTCTTACATACACCCACCCACAAGGTTTCTTCATTCATCGATTAATGTCCTACTCTTTCTCTTTTTTTTCTGCGTATAAATATATATATATATATATATATATATATATATATTTCATAAGCGTCATATTTTTTTGTTTTTGTCAATTTACTATTTTCAGTTTGTTCTTATATGTATTGCTTCCCGAAATTTTTCGTCTGAAGTAAGTTGATATCATAATATGATTATTATATTAATCCTAAATCGAAACTAGTTTATTTTTCATTATTTTTTTGCATAAGAAAAAGAAAAGTTATGAAGATGTAAATTTAATCCTTTTAAAAACGTGTTGTGTTTGATTTTATAATAAAAAATCTGTCGCAATATGTTGTTTTTCTCTTTTTTTTGTTCTCACAAAAAAAAATCACATTCTATACAATGAGAATAACAACAACAACAACGATTCGAAACGACGTTAGCTGGTAAATGAGGTACAGATCGAGGAAAAATAGTTGTCCTTGTATATAACATGAAGAACAGAGGAGAGGGAGAGAGGAAAAATATAGGCGATAACCAAATATAAGAGCAAATGTGACATCTAATGTATAGTATCATCTGAAAAAATCTTACCTGAAGCTTCGATATTTATCAATTTATAATGATTAGGTTGTTTTGAATATTTTAAGAGAAAGAAATTATTTTATCATCTAATGCTTATAATTAATAGTCTAAAAGGAAATCAAATCATTCGTTTATTACTTTAGCATTGCATCACACACGTACATATATATATTATACATAACCGCCAGGTAGAAGTTAGCTTTTATTTCTTTCTATATATATGCGTAGACGTGAGAATGATGAGATAAATGCTAAAAAGAGTTAATGGCTATTGTTTGTGTCTGTAGTGATAAACGAGATGATCAGTTACGAATGTTGAACATCAAACATTCTTTTTCTATTAGATGACTAGTATATTGTGAAAAAAATAAGTGCACATATATAATGTTAATGATACGAAACAAACGTAGATGTCAATAAAAAGACGTCGAAAAATTCTTATCGAGAAATTTTAGATGATTCATATATCAAATGATTAATTTTCAATAATATTAAACATGGAATTCAAAGAATTCTAATTGAATATATATATATGTATATATTATTATTATGTGAACACATTTTTATGACGGTTATATTAAGGGTACGTAAATATGTTGTTTCTATTCGTATACAAAAGAAATATGAATCAATGCTGGTGAAATATTTAAAAAAAAACGAAAAGACGAAATAAATGTTGTTGTTGTCATCGATGACGTCATGTTAAACGGTATCTCACTCATTCACTCATCAAAAGCAACGTTATTTCTTCGTTCGTATGGTGACGCACTCAATAGGAATGTACAAAGAACGAGAAAAAACCAGAATGAGAGAAAGAAAGAGAAAAGAAGAAAAAAACCAGTTTTTTGATAATCAACAAGGAATGAAGAGGCGTTAATATAGAAAAAAAAGCAAAAGAACAAGCTCCGTTATTTTTTTCTTCTTTCCCGCACACATGCCTTATAATAACAGGGTGCACATTCGTTTGTACGACAGCATATCATTTTGAGCTATCGCCACTGTGTATTTGCTTCTCTATAGTAAACACTATTTATATACATCAGCGATTTTTTACTCTATATATATATATATTAATGTACCTTCATATATAAATATGTTTTAGATGATTTTCAACAAATATTAACTTAAATCAAAGTTACTGATAAATATTATACGAACAAAATATTATTGAATTAAATATTAAAAAAACAGAATTATAAATATACTAATGGCTTCATCAAATGGTACAACAAATGGTACATCAAATGGTACTGGTCGTCCAACTGGTGTAAGTATAAACAATTGATTATAATAGATAGATCTTGAATATCTTTGGGTTGTCTTCTAGTCTGTTTCAATTCCTGTAGAAATTATTCGTGATTCAAATTCAACTAATGCACGTCCTAATTCAAGACAAAGTTCTCCATTTCGACCCCTTTTTAATGATAATCAATTTCCTGGTTTTTCTGATTCTCCATCACGGAGCTTCAATTCGAATAGTCGTTTCCAGCCACGTCATAGTCCAAATACTGCATATGATCGTGTCATTAACAATTCACAATTTAATCAACCAATTAATGATCGTTATTCACAACAACAATACCAAGAACCACAATATCAAGAACCACAATATCGTTATTCACAACAAATGTATGAACCAGGTCCATCACTTTTAAGTCGTTCAAGCGATGATATTCTTTCATCACCATTTGAATCAATGCAATTTAATGATATGCCTCAATATACTTCTTTAATACCACCATCATTTGGTAGTGCATTTCGAAACGACTCGGATTTTGTTCAGCCAACTACATTTCCGAGTCCTCTTCTTCGTCGATCATTTGATGCTCTTAATGACTTTCCAGATATGCGTCAAAGTTTCCCAACATTTCGACAATATCCATCTGAACAATCACAACAAAGACCACAACCTCCACCATCACAACAACAACAACAACAACAACCACCTCCACCACCACCACCACCACCACAACAACAACAACAGCAACAGCAACAACCATTTTATCGAACAACATATCAGACACAGCATCAACCTCAACCCCAACAACAACCAACTTATGCTAATCAAGCTTATATTAATCCAAATATAGTTTATACAAATGAATATGGTGTACCAACTGATCATTATCAACAGAATACATATCAAGGAGCTGGCAATAATGGTGGTGAGTACAATTTATTTTTTTTAAATTTTAGTCACGATATATATTTATGTCGTCGTTTGAAAATATATTTTTGTCAGTTATTTACCCTTGCAGGTAAAGTATAAGTGCATCTAAATTTTACTTTCAAATGAGTTGACACATTTGCTTATGCGTCATTTTTCACCTCTTCTAATATTAGTCATAAACAATCTACTCAATTCAACTTTTTCTGTCTCATAATAATTCTTAGCAAGTCTTAACCAATAAATACATTGATTATTTTCAATAGATGGCAATAATATGATTCTTATTTTATCCACGATTCTGAGACAATAGAGTAGGCGAATATTATTATCAGTAGACAGGTAGATGACATCGATAATAAGTATAGAGAGTCAAACCACATAACTATTTACATATACGCATATATGTATATATAGAAAAAGAATCGGATAGTTTACTGTGTTTTTGTCTTACTATCGTTTACTACCTTCTATATAGGCAGAATAGAAGAAGAAAAAAAGAATAGAAACAAACAAAAGCAAACATATACAGGAGAACGAACGAAATAAGCACTATGAGAACTTTACATACATAATAGTATTGTATTACGAAATAGAAAGTTTCAAAGAACATTTTTATGTTATAGTTTTATATACTTTTAAGTCAATAATAGAGATAAAAAATAATGGGTACATCTACTAGTAGTTCGAGAAAACGAAAAGGTTTACAGAATTAATTAATAATTAATAATAACTGAACAATAAAAATTTTTTTTTTAATATAGCAAGTGATCTTTCTCGTTCGCCAGCATCACAACGCGGTGCATCACCAGCTCGACCACCACCACCATCACAGCAACAGCAACAACAACAAGATGAACCCGAACTTAAAATGGCTAAAGATGCAGATGGTCCAATTCCTATGCCACCACCAGCTTCTTCTTCTTCGTCTTCTAATGCGTCACCATCAACACATCCAACTGAATCACAAGCGCCACCAGCTGATACTAAACCAAAAGCGAAAACGCCAACACCTCCACCTGAAACTGTACGTGATCCAAATGCAATAGCATTAGAAAAACTTGAACAAATTAAGCAAAATTTGAATGCATTAGATAAAGAAGTCAATGCATTTACTGGTTCGACTCGTAATGAGCGTGCATATAAATTGCTTGATGAACAAGCATTAAAGATAATGATACGTTGCGATGAATTAGTCGATGTTAGTGCTGATATAAAAGAAAAACGAAAAGAAATGATACGCAATGTACAAAAAGTAATTGATAAACTTGAATCGAAAGTACCAGCAACTCCTGCTACACAACAAAATAGTAATCCAATGGAATTAGCAGCAACTACTACCAATGAATCATCTATCAATACTACTAATAATGAAGAAAATATTGCAAAAGAATCTTCACCTTCTTCAAATCCACTAGAAGGAAATACATCCGCTTCAACGACAACAGAACAGTCAATATCAACTTGAAAGAAAATAATAATAATCATCATCCTAAACTTTATAGCTAGAGAATTTTCTTTTTCCTTTATGTTTTGTTTCTTTCATTTGTCTCGTTTGCCGTGTACTTTTTTAACCTGCTTCTTTCCTCTGTCTACATACATTATCTGTTCTTTCATATGATTATTGTTCTCATTAATGATCATCAGCACAGACTTTTTTGTTCTTTTTTTTGTTTTGACCATTTTCTACAGAAAATGTAAATAACAAAAAAGAAAATTTAAAAAAAAACAAGAATTAAAGATATTTGAAATTTTTTTATTTTTAATTAGGTGTACACTATTGTGAAGATTAAATTCGATCGATAAATTTACATAATAAATAAAAATCTTAATTACGGTTTCCGCGCTAATGATTCAAAAACTTGGCAATATAATACAATCATCTGTACATATATATACATAACTTTATTAGTTATTCTTTTATTGAAAATGATTCGGTTTGCTTTGACAAGCATGTAGTTAATATAATCACGAATAGAAACTCTCTGACAGATATCTATGTTTGTCTTTTGTAATACTTATTGGATCGATTTATTGAAAATAAACTCTTCTCGTTTCCTATCTGTTCTCAAACTTCAGCAAACTATTGTAGTAAAAGATAATCTCGTCTTGTCGTTTCTCTCGGCATCATTTTCTCTTTTTTTGTCATACTTATGAGCTATTGTTAGGAAATCGTCAACAAAGACGACAACATTGAAAACAGAAGCTGCATAACAATGGCAACTAAATCGTAAACCAAATTAATTTTTCTCTTTTTCTAGCTTTTTTTTCTATTTCTCAATCTCTCTCTCTATCTCTTATTGATTGAATAATAAAAAAAACTCGAGAACGATCGATAATAAAGCCAATATTATAGACAAA